CATGTACGGTGGCGGTGGCGGGCCGCATCCTATGATGTATGCGCCGCAGCCACACCCGGGGATGAGCTACGGGCCGCCTATGCATGCTCCTGTCAATGACAATTTCACTCACATGTTCAGTGATGAAAATACAGATAGCTGTAGTGTGATGTAAATTTTGTTTTGCTACCCTCCATGTTTATGATTTTTTCAGTTTAGCCTCATCATGAGTTTTCATTGTTTATGTTTGTTGGTGTACTACTACAGTCAATGTAAGGTAATTGGCTCTTTTGGTATGGTAGATTTGCTAGCTGTGGCTCTTAATACTTTAGTATATATATAAGTTAATAAGTACTATGTTTCTAACTAATTTTCCCATTAGTTCTGTCCACGGAAGGTGTAATTTTTCTTGCCTAGATTGACATCAATAGTTGTCTTGCAGAATTTTACTTGCAATAAAAATCTGAGTGAATGAAAAGCATTTTCTCCCTTTGGTAAAGAATGAGTATAGAGTATGAAAGAAGTTTGTCTGATGTGTTCTTTTGCTTTGAGAGAATAATAATGAAAGGTCCTTAAAACCGGCTATGCACATGCCCCTTTCATGATTAAAGTTGCTTTCTTTGTACGGTTTAGTGTATAGATCAATAATGAAATACTAAAGCAGACACAAGTGTTCAAATTTACGCCTACTTTAGTGCTCAAAAGAATGGAACGGTTTTGAAAAAATTTAGGCTAAACTACTAGTATAGAGTCTAATATAATGATACTTGCTCTTTTCCACGGTATTCATTCATTAGCCCTCACTCATTCGAGTCATGCTCCTCTCCATTGTCTTTTAACTATATCTATCTCCTTAAAAAATAATTAAATCTTATCTTTTATTTTTCCCCACCCCACCATTTCCCCATCTATCTCTATATTTATGATACTGGAGAAGTCCAGTTACTTGAAAGGAGCGCGATTCCACTCACCCGCACAAGATTTATTTTTGATATGAACATTATTAGTAGTTCTAAGATATTAAGAACCCGTTAGGTAACACTGAAGATATTAAGAACCCGTTAGGTAGTACGGAATCAACTAAATTTGTTGGAATAAATGATTCGTAGAATTATGATAAAATTATATTTGAAATATTCCTTTTTATAAAATTGAAAACAAAATATATGAAAAATTAGTTTAAATGATCCTCCTCTACAGTAAATTCAACTCATTTATCCGGAAAAAATTTCACCCTTACTTATTTTGTTTATTACACAATTAAGAGTCTGGAATAAAAATGATGCATTTGGTGAAAAAATTGACTGATAAAACTGATAAATTGAAAATGAAGTTTTCAAATGGACTCCAAGTGAATACAAGGACTTCGTTTCGAATTCATGGTATGATACATCAAGAAAGGAGTATACGCAAAAGACTTTAAAACGGAGTCCACACCGAGTAAATATGTCAAAGGCCAACCCTTTGATGACTTAAGATATGATGGGAAGCCCTATATAAGAGTTTGGAGCGTAGCTCACATGATACGAAGATGTGTCATAAGGAAAAAGTTTTGTATTCAACTCCAAACAAATACTTGTATTGAAACTCGACTCTCTTTTCATCAATGTACGATCAAAACTTAATTTATCTTCCTCCAGATAATTGTCCGATCAGTTGTGAGACTTTCAAGGATGGGGTATCATCCTTTTTGCGAGCCCTATAACTGAAGTTGGAAATTTATTTGAGTGGAGCTCAAGCCAAATGAGAGATGACACTTTGAATTCTTAATCAAGCTATGAAGAATTAAAGTCTCACCACACCATCAACTTTGAATTTAAAGTTACCAATAATAAGGTAAAATAGGAAGAGTTAATAGCCAAGTTAAGAATAACCAATGCAATGGGTGCATTCAATTTGAGAGCCTAATCGGAATCCATACTAACAATTCGTCAAATGGTAGCAAATGAAGAAAGGATGAGAACATACCAGAGTAGTCTATACTCTACAGTAAGGCATGACACTTTTTGAAGATAATGCATCAAAATATACATATAAAACGTTGTTATTTTTGTTTTTTTGTTTCAATGTCTTTCCGGTTAGATTTTTGACTAAATTTTTTTGTGAATAAATTAGACTTAGTAAGAAACATGTTTAAAAATATTCATTAAAAAAAATTCACAAAGAGCCGTCCCAAACGGCGGGCCTGAATTAGGCCCATCAATAAAAATCAGGCCCACCTTAACAATCTCGCTCGTCCGGAATCTATCTCCCAAGCGACGAGCGGTCAGCCGTCCAACGGTCCAAGCCCAAAAATCAAAATCCCAAATGCATCTCCACGACCCCACAGACCAGTCCACAACAACTCAGCAAGGACGCAGCCACGCAGGCGCTAATCGGCAGTCGACTCCGGCAAGCCGCGACTCGGCCGCCCCGGGCCCCCATCCGTTCCATTTCCTTCATCCAGGTCTCTACATTTACCCCCTTTTAAGTTCTTTTCTGTAATTTCGAAATTTCAATTCCATTTTAGTCTTTTAGGCTTTAGCTTCTTGAATCTTAATATTCAGCTCTTGTCTTCTTAGAGTTGGGGGATTTGGTTTTTTTGAAGTACTGAACAAGCTGAGCTCCCCCTGAACTCCCTGAAGTTGTTGTAACTGCCTGTTTTGTATGAATGATCAATACCTGTTTTGAATTCCAGATTTCCTATTTCATGGAATTAGATAGGGTTAATATCCATTTGGTCCTTTAACACCCAATTTGATTCTCCTTATATAGTGTATGTCATTCTGTCTCAATTTTTTGTAGACCCGATTTGGTTCTTGACCTATCACTCTCGTCTCTCATCCTTTTACTATATTATATTCAATTTAAGTGTGCAAGTGTGTTATTTGTGAGCGTAATTTATATTCATTTGATTTGTGATTCTTAGGTTCAAACGTAGGTAATGCAGGGGCGTAGCCAGGATTGATGTTTACCCTGGGCCGACTATATACTAAAAACATCATATAAAAATTTTAAAAACGACAATAGTCTGAACATAATGATTAAAATTCATTCAAATTCATAGTAATATTTTTAAACAATACATATCATGTTTGAATCTAAAATGTTAACCGAGTTTAATGGTTGTCCTTACACGCAAACGATTTTTCACCACTTCTTCTTTACTGATCCTAGCAATGACTTTGTCAATATGTTGACTTGGTTTCATTAAGGTGTCACAAGTCACACTCTTATTATGAGGTGAGGAAGGGGATGAACCAACATGCACAAGAAACACACGTTCTTTACCCTGATGAACTCGTTTCCAACTATCAAAACCAATAGTCACTAAAGCCGAAACACAAGAAGAATGCACAACATCACTGAAGACAAAGCACGGAAAACAATATGCCTTATGTGTTGTTGGAGAGTATTCCAACCAATTAAATTCATTGAACTAGGTAGCTTGAAAACGACGCATCATATCTTTGTAAACTCGGCCTTTGTAAAAATTCAATTTTGATTGATAAGGTCCAAACATCGAATAAGATCATCTAATTGCATATTGTCATCTCTTTTCTCTAACAGTCAATCACTTATCGTTTTGCGTTTTTCCGGATCCCGCTCAATTTAAAGTGCATCAGAATCTACTTCCTCTTGAGCGGATGAGATATTAAGAGTTTCAATTGAGACATTTAACTCTTGTCTACTTTGAGTGCTTGTACTAGGCTTATAAAACGGACGTAATGTGATTTTTGCCTTTTTGGAAGTAGATTGAGTATCCATACTTACTAAAATTAGCAAAAAAATAAAAAACTAATCAATATTTTATTTGAATTCACATAGTTCCTTCCTATTAATATTTTTAACAATTCACAAAATCACATTTGACATTCCTAAATTCTAATTTATCATTTTACAATTCCAAGCACACAAATCAATTCAAAGCACACTAAGTGACTAACACAATCTAAAATAACAAATAAAATACTTACATAATGAAAATACGTAAGTGTTAGTAACAAAGCATACTAACACTAAGTTACATTGAACTAAAAATTGAAAAAATGTAGGTCACGATTGTAAAATCAAATTGTCAAATTAAATTAAAATTGTAAAATTGTGAAACCTTACCTTGACAGCTGCGCCGAAGCAATTCAGCAGTCAAGAAATGGAAGGCTATGCGGGCTGCGGCGTGGAGACTGGAGAGTATTCCACGGTCAAAGGCGATGCGGCGACCGGCGTAGAAAAGGCTATGCGCAGGGGCGGCAGGGCGAGCGGCGGAGCTGCGGAGGAGAGCTGGAGCCTGGAGATGCGGCGTCTTGCGTCCGCCGTCCGGCGAATAGGAGATGCGAATGAAAACGTCCGTCTCTGCTCTTTGGCTTTGGTTAGCTTTGTTTCTTTAGCTCTGGAACGGACGGTATATTTGCACTGGGCCAAACACTGGGCCACTATTTTTTTGCACTGGGTCATTTCTAAAAAAAATTAAAAATTTCATATATAATACAAAAAAAAAAAAACTGCCCTGGGCCATGGCCCAGCCTGGGCACCCCCTCCCTCCGCCCCTGAGGTAATGTGTTATACTAAATTATATTCAATTGGATTCATTTGACTAAATTATACTACGTATGGAAGATATCAAATTTTAAGTAAAAAATGTGGTGACATTATAGAAATATGAAAAACTTCAAATGAAAATTATGTAACTAGTGTACATTAGAATATACAAAAAGTGTACAAATAATCTCGTTTGTATAAAACGTGTACATTAGAATATACAAAAAGTGTACATTAGAATAAAACGTAAAGCGCATTAGAATACAAATAAAAAGTGCACAACTTTAAACACACATGATAATCTCGTTTGTATTGATACTGCATTGCTTGGGAAATCTACATTTAATTAATCTATTTTAAAATAATTAAAGGTCAACATTTATTTTGGGAGAACTACATTTTATTTGATTGACTTTATTCGTATTACCATGCTAAATGAAATACCTTGAAATGAAATGAAGTGAAATGTATAAGAGTGTGTTATTTGGTCTGAGTTGACTTGGTTAAAACTTGTAACCCCTGAGCGTGAGTCAGTCTCTGACTCTCTTCAAAGTCCCAAAATTCATATAGTGCATTCAAGGGAAACCCACTTTTTGATTCTTCTGTTTTCTACAGTTGTGAGAGCGGAAGCACAAAATGCGTTCTGCCGGGTTCAGAGCCAATGCGTTGCTAACCTTCGCTGTCACCATCCTGGCGCTAATGTGTGCCATCGTCTCTTTCTCGGACAATTTCAACTCTCCCACTCCCACAGCCCAAGTCCAGGTGCTTGTCTTGTGCTCATAAACTTCTACAGATCCATATATGTATTGACGTATACAGTGATAGTTGAACTTGGTTTTTCGGAAACCCGAGATTGTTGATCTGTTGATTATATTCTTTAAAATCTAGGTATTGAACATCAATTGGTTCCAGAAAAAACCCGACGGCGATGACGAGGTAATTTTTCATCCTTCTGAAATGATGTTCATCATCCCTTTGAATTATTCCTTTTAATTTTGTGGAAAGAATTGATAGGGTATATCCGTATGTGTCTTGCAATGAGAAATTGAATGAGATAATCTATTGTGGGACTTGGGTTGGTAGTCAATGTAATGAGGTTAAGTATGTGTTCACGGACATGAATCACATAAACAATAAAAGTAGGGTTTTTACCCCACACCTTATTGTGTTTCTTTGTTTGTTTGACACTTGACATCTTGACTTCTTGAATGGTGCTGGATACATATGGAGGAACAGAAACTAATGAATCTGAACTTTGTGTGTACTCACATTCTCGCAATGCGAGCAACCAATACTACAAGCATTTGCATGTGTAATGGTGACTGAATCCATTCTGAACATATAATTTGAAGGTGTGCATGTGACTCTAATTTGGTCTACATTTTTATTCTATAAACTGTGAATGACAAGTTTTAACTTTTTAAAGAAACATGGTGCAAAATTTTAACATATTGACCTCAGTCTTATAAAATATTTTTTATGTACTTTCATATTCTAATTTGTTACATAGTATTTTGCATGCTATGTATACACTACACACTGTATAAGAAATTATATTGATGAACAAGATACATTTTACTTTAGTTATGGCCTCCTCAAGTTTGAATCCCTGGTTCCGTCCCTTTGTGTGAGCCTCATTTTTTTCAAGTTCTAAAAAATCTAAAAGGATACACCATGTCACAAAGAGATACTCTGCACATACACAATGATTTTCAGCACACTCTCTATATCTTTTTTCTATATTATTTTCTTCAAACTTGTGAACTGCCTTTAGAAAAACTACAGGCTATTTTTCAACTTATTCTGTGCGCCTCACATTTGATCGTCCTCTTAAATTTGTCCGAATTTTAGTCGTGCATATTGAAGTGTTCAACTAGAAAAATTAGCTCAGTCGTGGAAATCAGTGTTCTTGAACTTCATGCATAGAAAACTACCAAAGTGATTTCTTCGTCAAAATATATTTCTTGTAGTAAATGTTATTTGCTGATCTTGGCATGCTTTGACCAACTTTCCCTAATATGGGTGGCTATGCTTGGTTCAATGCAGATCAGTTTGACACTGAATGTATCAGCAGATTTGCAGTCACTGTTTACCTGGAATACAAAACAGGTTTGCTCAAGTTATACACCTCTTTGTTCTAGTGCTATGAGTTCTTTCATACTTGAATACTCTAAAGAATAGTAGTCTCTGTTAATTCTGCTTGACCGTGGATGTTTATGAGAATGTAAATTGCTAGGCTATATATTCTTACGAACACCATTTTTGACATATTCACTTCATCTTGTCAAATCAACTTCTCAAGTATATAATTACTTATCCACATAATAGTATGAATGTTTTGCAGTGCACATTTCTTGTGGATTGTGGAATTTTAATTATACTGCATATACATATATTTGTGATTCTTAATTAATGATAAACTCAAACAGATTGGTACTTGAACGATAGTTTTATTGTCATTTGTTCTAGGGTGAGTTCTATTTTGAGTATTAATTGTGTAGTCTCTTTAAACCTTTGCAGGTTTTTGTGTTTTTGGCAGCCGAATATGAAACCCCAAAGAATGCCCTGAATCAGGTATTTTTTGTTTCACTATTTTTAACAATGAATCAGGCAATTCCAATGCTGTTCAATGTGCTGTTGGTCATTCAACTTTTCCCCCATCTTACATCTAATATGCCTCATGTGATAAGTTATGTACTTAAAATACACTTGAACATAATAATATCAAAATTACTCTATTTCGTGTCTCTTTAAACTCTAGGCATGTAAGATTTGCAATGCTTTAGTAGATGGATTCTGATTAGAGATTATTATTAGTATATGCTGATTTGATTACATTGTCTGATGAGGTAGTTGACTTCAACTTTGATAAAAGCTTTGCTATAAAAATTATCTCCCTAGTTACAAATTCCTTGTATTTTCCCCAAGGATATCTTCATCTCATTATCTGGTAGAGTAGTGAGATAGACATAGGTGTCCTTGTGCACAATCAAACTCATGATAAAGGGACAAACAACAAAGTGTACAAGTGTAATTACAACCTAGTAATGTATCCTTTAGTCTTTAAAATTTAAATCCATTTATTTCGTATTAGTGTGGTGATTTTTTATAACTTTTATCCTACAAAGTAAATTTTCTTTTTCATTGCATTATTTAAAAATATGAATAGTAATAACATTATATTAAAGCCTCACCATGTTGTGAACAATTAATGCTTTATTTTCATTATGTTACTGAACATATTGTGCAAAATCAGTATTTTCTTTTTTATTGTGATGTTATAAGAAAATATCTAGAAAATAGGTATGATCTTAATATTGTGAAAATTATGTTATAACGTGCCCAGTCATCGATTGATTTGAATTGTTTCCTCCATCTGACCTAAACGCTCTTGTCAAAGGTTTCATTGTGGGATGGTATTATAACTGCTCAAGAGCATGCAAAATTTTGGATCCACACCAAAAATAAGTACAGATTCATTGATCAGGTTAGGCACCAAATCTGTTTGATTGTATTGCATATTTGTCTTTTGCTGCTTATAACAGTTTTCATGACAATGTTTTTAATCATGTTTAGGGAAGCAATCTCCGTGGTAAAAGTTTCAACCTTACATTGCATTGGCATGTTATGCCAAAGACGGGCAGAATGCTCGCTGACAAGCTTGTTATTCCTGGCTTCTTCTTGCCAGAGACATACAGATGAGTCTGGTGTTTTGCCTGTTGGTCATTTTTAATGTAATTTTTAGCCCCATCACTTGATGGAATGAGGACAGTTTCCAAGACACTAGGTTGGAAAGAAAGGTTAAAGGATGTGCAACAACAGAACTTCATTGGCTATCATAGTATCATCATATCATGACAATTTAAATGCTGCATTTTGGTCTTGTTTGGTTTGGGGATTTCAGAGGAAGGGCTGGAATGGTTAAATCGGTTCCACTAATTTGTCTGTATTGCATTTGTAAGTGTTGCATCAGAAAAAAAGAAAAGAAATATCTACTTAATTAAACCCTCTACGTATATTAGTCTCTGAGGGAAGACATTATTTTCAACTGGACCTAGTAGTCCTGATGGTGGAACCTAGGAAGACATTATAATTCAGACGAAGATTTAGGTATCTAGAAAAAGAGTAACCAAAGAAAGACATAATCTTTGACATCATGAGACAAAGATTCGTATGTCCCTCACTCAAAAAGCAACATATGTTTAAAATACTAGGCCTCTTTCTAAAAGTTAGTCAGTAGTCACCACATGAATGGCAATCAAAACGTGAAAATGTCTTTCTAGAATTAAAAAAACATTAATCGCTGAAAATAAGAACAAAACCTCAAGCTTCACGTGAAATCAGTAAGAAAACAAGTCGTTGGATTAGTGGCGATAATGTTTATGAAAATAAGAACAAAACCGTAGGATTAGTTAGGGGTGGATCGGGCCCGGCCCAGTTCCGGTTTGGGCCTAGGCCCGGCCCGGCCCGGTTCCGGTTCAATTTTTTTCCCCCTTATTTATTTCAAACCCCCAACCCCTCAGAATTCAGAAACACCCAGCCCAGCCCGCCCAAACCCAAAAAGGCCCCCAGCCGGTCCGGGTACACAGTACCAGTCCAGTTGCCCCGGCACCGGTCCACCCCTAGGATTAGTGGCGATAATGTTTTGTGAAAATAAGAACAAAACCGTACAGTGTATAATATTACTACCAAAGTGAGTTTGGTCTTTTTATCTCAAAGTGAAAAAAATATTGCAAAAAGAAAAAGGACAATGTAGTAAAAGAATGTAGTGATACATACACTGCAGAAACTTGCAATGACCAAGCTTACTAACATGAATAGTGTGTTAAGTCCAACAGGACAGAAACCCCCGGAATCTTGCAGTAAAAGAATGTGGTGATACATACACTGCAGAAACTTGCCTGGAAATGTTTCTTGCCATCTGCCTACAAAAACTATGCAGAAAACTTTGCAATTACCAAGCTTACTAACATGAATAGTGTGTAAAGTCCGACAAGACAGAAACCCCAGAATCTGGGAACTTGGAACCTATTCCAAGTTACTACAAGCAAGGATCCCATCAAACTCAAGAGCAAGAAAACGAAGGCCACAACTATGCTCACATGGAAACGCAGCTCATACGCATCTGGATAAACATTCCCTGTTTGTATAACCAGAGCTATCCCCAGCCCGAAAAGCATGTTAAACATGGGCCCTGCAAAGCACCCTGCCATGGCCATTGCAGGCTGGCCAGCCTTAGCAACAGCAACATCTGCCACAAGATCACCCACTGAATTTCCCCACGCAAGCACTGTTAGACCAAGAAGAGCAGGTGGCAGTTCCAGAAGTGCCCCAAGAGCTGCAAGGCAGTTTAGAAGTTCCCCTGCTGCTGTCGATATCCAGAATACACTCATTATGAATGCAGCAAGCACGGCCGGCAGTTGCTCAGACTTCGGAGGTTCTTTTTCAACAACGTAATGGAGAAGTGCTAAAGAGGAGCTTCCACAGAGTACTATAAACCAAAGAGGAAAGTGTGTGTTGGGGATAAGAAATACAATTGGGTGAGTTAACGGCATAAATGATCTGCAGGAGAACAGAATGGCCAAGGGGAAAAAAACTATGTTTGCAGACTGATAAAATCTGCTCCACTCTGTGGGAGAAGTCTCAGGGATTGTAAGTTTTAGGAGCAGCGAGACTGGAAGTTCCCATACCTGCAATGCCTGTAAAGAACAGGAAAAAGGGTCAAATTAAATGCATAATGGTCGCCACAAGTAATACAAAGCTGGCAAGAACTAGTAAATTATGCTAGTTGATAATAGGTTACTAAAGTGAGATTTGGGATTGAGTTTGGTTGCTCAACTTGGCCATAAAAGCACTGCGCTTAGCCACACTAAAAGAGTGGATTCAATTTGTTAGCCAGTTCAACGCAATATCTCTAACTAAATCCACCATTTTCTTTATAATTTTCCGGTGTACAGACATCCAGACAGACAACTGGACAAATAAAGTGAGCCTAAACCTGTTGCGGCACCATCATAAAATTTCCGGATTAACCACTGACCTTAACCCACTTGGACCAAACGGCACTATAAAATTGAATCCTATCTATTAATTAGTTCAACACTAAACCTTATAAAACACCATTCTCTTTTTAATATTTCGATGTGAGATTCAAACATAAGTGTTAATACTATCGCATGGTGTTGATACATGCACTTTTCTATGGCAATGACTCATGCAGTTCAATGTGTATGTTGGGCATGTTGAAAAGAGGCAAGTGTACATTTATTTATGGGAAAAATACCCTAATATTACTAAAACTCATGACTTTTCCAATAATATGATTATATGACCATATATGTTTTTAATCGTAGATATGACTAAATTAAACATCACATACATGGGCCGGCTGGAATTATTATAATAAATAACGGACAAGGCTCTTTTACATATATGAACTGATTCCTTATTTTTAGGAATAGTAATTAATACAACCTAATGCATGCACCGATAATTGAGGAAGTGATAAATGGTGACGGGTGGTGAGCATAGGCAGTAATTGGAGGGCAGTAAAAATATGGGCAATAAATTAATGCATTGTATAGGATGTAAACACGCAAATGACAGTAAATATGTATTATGATAGTTAATGACACATAGACAGTAAATATTTATGATGATAGTTAATGACACATAGACAGTAAATTAAAGACAATAAATCGGTATTCTATTGGTCAGTAAATCCTTACATTCTATATATTGTCCATATATGAAATAGACTGTAAACACAAAATTGAAGTAATTGTGTAAGAGAGCAATGATTGTGTAGGAGGGCAGCAAAGACAGTTTCCAAATTTATTGATTGAACTAATTAATGAGGGCAGCAGAAAAATACAAAATACGAAAAAATGATACTCCGTGCTAAATTACCATGCATGGTCTCGAACCATCAGAATAGGAAATAAACACGACAAAATCATATATTGGGAAATGCATCATGTTTTAGTCTTATCAATGATAATTTTCTCTTTATTGGGAAATAAGCATTTATTGCTGGTATATCCATCAGGACATCAAGTGGTGGTCACAAGTGAAGGGAATGAAAAAGACATGTATGAGTGCGACCCTATCTCATTGTCTGGCAACTACGAGCAACTAGGACAAATCTTTTATTACTATCCAGGATTGAACATTAACTCGGAAGCCAATAAGGAAAAATTCCCAGAAGAAGGTCTGTGGCGGCCAGGCAGGGAAAGTACAAAGAATACAAATAATATCTTTGAAGTTCAAACTGCATCCGTTCCCAAACCAAAAGGACAAACGATATCACTCGCAAAATATCATTTTTCCACTTATAAAGAGTTATTGGGAGATTCATAAACTAGAGCCTAAGATATCTTCATGGGCAGCGACTAAAACCAGCATGATTGTATATGAACGTCCATGCTGGTGTTTGAAGTTCTTAAATCAATTCAGTATATAAAATCCTATGACATTCTACACATATTAGTATGTGTCCTTCGAAAAAAGTAAACCCTTTAATACATAAAGATTCAAGAGGGATTTAATACTGAAAATCAATGACAATATTGTGGAAATAACGTGGATAGAACAAGCATGAGTACTCCTCCAACAAGATTAAACTTGCCCAATAGCTATGCTATTACAAACTTAAGACTGCCTGCTACTCCTCACTATGGGCAGCCCTCTATTTAAACAAAAGAATCTAAGATTAAAAAGTTACTCAGGACTAAAAAAGTACAAGAAAAAACTACAGAAAATTCCTTAAATAGGATTAAAACATAGACAAAGTGCACAAATATGACCACCATTGTTTTTTTCCCCCTAAAATAGGACTCATTCACTTCCGATTGGGGAAGTTTTATACTTTCGATAGAATCAAATAAATCATATTTTGGGAATAAAACATAATTGGTTCTACTCGTGCACTTTCTGCATGTTTTAGTCCTCTTCAAAGAAATTTCTTAAAATAATATAGCATTTGCTGTTATCTAAGAAGAGAAATATTTAGAAAGATATAGGAACTGCTTGCTGCTATTCATAGGAAAGATCCCAAAGAGTAAGCTCCAAGCTTTCTTAAATCACTTCCTCTCTGTTCTATCTCTCACATGAGTAAACTATCCACTTTTTTTTGAGTAAATTATCAACTATCTACATCCACTGCTTCTCATTATGCAGGCTATCCGGTGCACTTATGTTTGTATCAGCATTACAAGTACCATTTCCTTATTTATACTGTAAGCAAAAACAAACTCCTAACATTAATCTAGTCAACATAAAACATATACTCTGTAACAATGAACCTGACCCCTGCTTTTCTGGTACAGTAAGATTTAGCTATTTAAGGATAACTAGTCAACTCAGGATTGAAAAAAAATCCATCTGGTTATCATGGTTCAATGATGCTATTCTGTTATTCAATTTTTCTAATCCCCAATGCTCTCTAGTCTAAAAACTTAACAGATTCACTAATACTCCATCTGTCCAAATGTGTAAAACTGATTAATTTTGAGATAGACAAAAATGGACGGTTTTATTTACAAAATGGGACAAAGGGGGCACAGAACTCTTAGCACTTCTATAGCCTGTGCTTCTGCTAACTGAATACTTTAATGGAAATTGTCAGATTGAGCTTTTTCTTACGTTCCTCTCATCTTAAAACTTATGTCACTAAAGCCCTATAAGGAGTATAATTCAAGCAAAATTGCAAACAGATACTCCCTGCATCATAGTATTAACTGATCTAATTAAACTTCATGATGACAGTAAACAGAACATGTTATAACCAAGAAAAAGATTTATATTGTGAATCTATATCACCACCACGGCACCACCACCACCACAAGAATTTGAAATTACTAAACACTTGATACATCCAAGACATATATATTACCTTCTCAAAGACAAGCCTTAACCCAGAGGAAGAGGAGTTGTG